TAACAATCCTCCAAAAACAAAAAATAGCACAAATAGTTCATCCAGTTAATAAATGTTATAATTTAAGATTTTATTTTTAATGCATAAATTTTAAAAAGTGTGTGTATAAAGGGTATGTTTGCATTTATTTATTGTATGGGTGTTTCTCTAGGTTATGGGTTTGCATCTGGCTATATCCAGTAGCTTTCAAGACAATTACCTGTTATCAAATAACTAGCTCAGAAGCCTTAACATAGTAGAAACAAGATAAAAAGCAGATAAAAAAGCAAGTAGCCAGTAAATAAAGCAAATAAAGCAGCATTTAGTTAAACTGGCAAATATTTCCTGTGAGGCACCTTCCAGTGCCATGAAAAGCATGAGAGACTAGGGCAACTGAGGTGGTAAAGATAAGGCGCCAGGAGGAAGGGCTTTGGAAGGGAATTCCACAAGTTGGGAGCCATCACCAAGAAGACCCTTTCTCCCATAGCCCTCTGCCTCATTTCCAGTGGCTGTGCCACTCAGAAAAGGCCTTGCAAAACAGAAAGCATCTTCAAGGTTGAGCAGGTTCTTACAGATGAAGTAATGCCTGGCTGAGGTAATGGGCTGGATGAGGGCCAATAAACTGAAGCTCAATCCAGACAAGACGGAGGTCCTGTTGGTTGGCGGATCGGGCTTCGGTGAGGGTGAATTGAACCTAGTCCTGAATGGGGTTGCACTCCTTCTTAGGGACAAGGTCCGCAGCTTGGGAGTGCTCCTCAACCCAGAGCTTTCACTGGAAGCTCAGGTGACAGCAGTGGCGAGGAGTGCTTTCCTTCAGCTTCAGCTGATCCGTCAGCTGCGCCCCTACCTGGAGTATGACTGCCTGGCGACAGTGACACACGCGTTGGTGACTTCCCGCCTTGACTTCTGTAACACGCTCTACGTGGGGCTACCCTTGAAGACGGTCTGGATACTTCAATTGGTTCAAAATAGAGCTGCCAGGCTGCTGACGGGGACTGGGCGTTATGTTCACATGACTCCAGTCCTCTGTCAGCTTCACTGGCTTCCCATTGAAGTCCGGGCCCAATTCAAGGTGTTGGTGATGACCTATAAAGCCCTAAACAGCTTGGGTCCTGGTTACCTGAAGGAGCGCTTACGTCCATATATGCCCACCCGCCCCCTGAGATCTGTGGGAGAGGCCCTTCTCCAGGAACCCTCCGTGAAGGAAATTAGGAGGGTAAGTACTTGGAGGAGGGCTTTCTCTGCGGTGGCGCCCAATCTATGGAATGCGCTCCCCAGAGAGGTCCACCTGGTGCCATCGTTATTTGTTTTTTGGCGCCAGGCAAAGACCTTTTTATTCAAACGTCATTTTAACTGTTAATACTATTTATTTATTTATTTTATTCTTCGGCCAGGACGACTTATTTTATATTGTTAACTTGTTTTATATTTTTATTGTATAATATTTTAATTGATATATTTGTGAGCTGCCCCGAGGCTTTGGCGAATGGGGCGGCATAGAAATTTTCTAAATAAATAAATGAATAAGTAAGTAATGAATAATAGAGGTGCAATTTGGGTGTGGTAGGATTTTTTTCCCTATCTAAACATGGATAGGATTTTGCCCTAAACTTGTAGGATGGTTGTCTATTGCTACCAGGACCAGAGAGTGCAGGTTCTGGGAATGAGAGCAGGAGGCCGCAATTGCCTCATGCTGAGCTTCAGAGGTTCTGGGGTGTCGGGGGGGCTCTGTGACAGCCCTTGCACCAGGCCAGCATTGCTCTTCTTGCGTTCCCAGGAGAGAAAAGGCAGCTCTCTGGGCACTTCCATTCCAGCCCAGTTCATTGAAGTGCAGAAGACTAGGCAAATGAGCGTGAGGAAGGCGAATCTCCGGGCACAGGATGGGGGTATCTTGTCCAGAGCACACAGGGGCTAAGCCCATCATTCATTCAGGCTATTTTTATCCCATCCTATACCAATTGTCTCTGGACAGCTTACAATGTGATAAATAAACAATAAATACAGCAATCAATAACAAAATAAAATACAACTGAGGATGTTAATAAAACCAGATTAAAATATGTACACTTTAAAATATTGGGTAAATAAAAAGGGTTTTACCTGGCGCCAAAAAGAATATAAAGTCAGCGCTAGGCAAACCTCTCTGGGGAGCGCATTCCACAGTCGGGGAGCCACCACAGAGAAGGCCCTCCTCCAGGTGTTCACTCTCCTAACCTCCTTCAAGGAGGGTTCCTGGAGCAGGGGCTCTGCTGCAGATCTTAGGGGGTGGGAGGGCGTTTCTTCCTTTTGTGGACATTTAGGGCTTTGTTGTTGTTGCTGTTGCTGTGAAAAGGTTCCAATTTTTGTCAGGACTGCAATACACAAGATGGTGAGTTTTAACGCTTCCTTCTCCTGCCGAGGTCCAGATGAAATTTGTCACCTTCACCCCATCCCATGTTAACCAGGAATAATGCAGGTACTGGGATGCGGGGGCAGGAAAGAGTTAAACTCCCACACACTGTTGTCCCAGTGAGAAATGAGGGGTGGAGTGAGGTTGCAGCGGGTATCAGTCTTTCTTTGATACTGATGTGCGGGCTAATGACACATTTAGGACTCTGTCTGGTCCAGTTCCAGCCCTTCAACACGGGCTGAGAATGTTTTCAGGTCAAAGCAGGCTCTGAGGAGGAGAGAGAACGAGCGCTTGGGCCTGCAATTGGGTGGGCTGAGGTGTTTTTCTGTTTTACAACTCAGGATGGCTTTGGGCGAGGAATAGTGCAGTGGGTGGAGTCCGAGGAGTAGGCCCGCTCTGCCTACTTGTAATTTGCAGACTGACTCCGAGCAATACATGGGCAAGTGTCTGCATGTACGTGGAGTGGACACCCGGAATCGCCCTCGTTCTCGTGAGTGGTGGTGCTTTCAGGGCATCAAAGGCCAGCACAGGAAACAAGCAGACCCCTCTGCTGCCCTCCCCCCCAGCTATCCCCGCCCCCCAGCCCTGCCAGATGCTGTGGGCACAGATTGTGGTGTCTAAGCCTGAGGCGAATTGTCAGATCGCCTGTAATCTGTTTGTTTGTGTTTGTGGGATGGGGAGGCTGGGCACATGAGAGCAGGAAACACATCCATCTCTCGGGTTGTGAGAGCTCAGGCAAAACCAGCAATCAGATTCATGTGTCAATGACTGCATTCTGAGCCTTGGTGTGTTGCAGAAAATCTGCAAGGCTGCTCTTGTTACATGTCTGTGTGAGTGAGTGAGTGAAAGTGTGTAGGGAGAAGGGGAATTGACCTCAGGAGACTGTGTCAGAATACAGTTCATGTGTACAGAAAAGTTAAAACAACCAATCTTTAAGGATAACGCACATAATGACAGTCTTCAGTACTCACATACTAGAATTCTGCAGCCGAGAAATGCGCATTCAGTGCCAGATAAAATATTCCACATTTGAGCTTCCAAATCCTCAGTCCTGAGGTCTAATAAAGGCATGCACGCTTGCTTGTTTCATGCAAAGAGGAGGCTGGATCCTTTACATTGTACTCCACTGTGTTCAATAGAGTTTATTCTCAGGTAAATGTACTTAAGACTATAGCCCTTGTTTCATCATTGCTTTCCATTAGAGTGTAGGAGGCAAGAGGATGGGGTCTCTGACCCTGGGAAATTGCAATTAAAAGTTTGACACAAGGGTGGTGGTTCCATTTAATTTAGATTTTACCTTACCATATGGCTCAAAGTGGCTTTCGAAATAAAAAAAAAAAATCAACACAAGAACAACATCCATGTAAAACTGTAATTCAGAGTTGCTTCCCCAAACTCCAAAAGCTTACACTCAAGCATTAAGGCCTCCAGAAGGCTGTGAGCTCGTAAAAATTCACTGCATGTTTTCCTGAAGTGGAAGTCCTTTCATGTATTCTAAAGGATTAGAGGCTGTGGCAAGTCCCTTTATGCACTTTTTCAATTTTCATCACTCGCCTTGTATTTCAAAAGAAAAGCCAAAAGCAGCTAACAATGGAGTAAGTATAAAATACAGCTAGCTTCAACTAAATGGCATAATGCACAACCCTCCACTTGTCTGACTGGTTAAAAATATTAGATTGGAGCAACCGGCAAAGAGAGGGCAGACAAACGGATTGGTTGGGCACTTGCAGAAGCTTCTGCTTGGAAGGGTGAGGAAGGCGAAGGAGAGGCCAAGTCCTTTCTCCGGTACCTGCGCATGCTCCCATGAGTAGCAGTAGCTGCACACCAGTCCGGTGAGCGAGTGGAAATAAATAGGGGATCCATCCCCCCACCTCTTCCAAAAACCCTTGGAAACCCCCAGGCCAGGAGGCAGAGCTTGGGGTGGGGTGGAGCATAGGGGGAGTCCAGGCTCAACAGGTCGATGGGCATCCTCCGTAGGTCAGATGGGGCGCATGGGCCACGGTTGCACTGCACTAGGTGTAAGGAAATGAGAAACTGCCCTGCACTTGGTCCATTGAGCTTAGTGTTTTCAAAACAGACCAGGGTTTTCGGAAAGGGTGTTTCTTGTCCCGCCTGGATATCCCGCTGATCAAACCTGCAACCTTATGCATGCAAGACAGGCAATCTTATGCACGCTGGACCATTAGTGGAGGGGCAGCCATATTAGATATGTGTTAGCCTCGAAATATTTTTCCCTCACTAAAGAGAGCATTGCTCTCAATGGCTTTGCTGAAGCATGTTTCAGAGACTGGGGTTGCTGATTTGCCAAAAGAGGCCTGTGATGAAGTAAACACACCATTGCAGCAGCAGAGTGAAAAGTAATTATAAATGGCACTGGGTCGCATGTGTGATCTGGAGCCTACTGTATGGAAGGCATAACCACTCTGTGTACTGCCTGCACACTTTCAAAGACTTCTTCACATGCATAAGGACTAGAAACTTGGCAGAGCAAAGAAGGGGCTATTCACAATTCATATTTGATGAGGACAGCATGAACATAGCCTGTTTCCCCAGTCGTGACAATCTATGGGTCAGTGATTTTCTACCTCCATTCAACTGACAGTTTTATTCTTAATCTCTGTTCTTCCTCCAGGCATTGCTCTTTCTGGCCAGCATCTCGGGCCTGTGCTTTGCCATCAGCCTGGTTCTCATCTGCGTCTACCTGGTCCGTTTCTGCTGCTGCAGCAACGAAGACGATGAGGAAACCAAGACTCAGAGGGTCTGCTGCGTCACCTGGAGCTGCGTTGCGGCCGTCATTGTCTGCTGGTAAAAAGAGATGCCCGTTCCCCCAAAGGAGGCGGTCTTTGGCCAGCAATGGCATTCTTCACTCGAAGGCAGTGGGCTAAGAGAAATGGATGGCTGTAGGCCCTCTGGCTGCAAACGCAGATGCCTCACACGCTGAGGTGGCTTGCAGGCTCAGGAACTCCCAGCCTGGCTTCTGCCAATGTGCGGCTCCCCACAGGTGGCCACCAGCCACCTGCCCAGCAGGATCAGGTGGCCGGAAGAGCCAGCGAGCTCCTGCCTAGTGGCCCCATCTAGCTAGTCTCCCTGGCCTGGCACTTCACTCAGCCGGGATGTGGGCTGAGCTGCATCTGGCTGCCCAAAAGCTGCGTCTGGACCAGCTGAATCTCCAGCTTGGCTCCTGAGCGCCAGCCCTGACAGGGAGGCCCTACACCCCATGTCCCAAAATCTCCTTAAGCCAGCCAGTGAGAATCAGACGTCTTGTCCCTGTACACGATGAGGGCATCTGGCTATCTCGAAAGGTGGCTGCAACAGCCACTCCCATAACCATCAGAGATGCTAGTTTTCCTTGCTAATTGCTTTGTGTTTTTCACGCAGGCAGGCATTCTACATGGCTATTGAAAAGTCCCCACTCTTCAATTAAATTGCCCCTCCAGCCCATTGCCTGAAGTAACCATTTCACCCTACCTCTTTGTAGGGCCTCTTTTGTTCAGCTCCTCAATCTTACTCTGAGGTGACCAACCTGGCATCAGAACAAGAGTCTTTTAGAAGGGAAAACCTTCCCATTCTACTTGTTTGTGTGGTTTCTGCACTCACATGCAACAGTAAGCCGTGCTTCTCAAGGACTCAGTTTGTTCAAGTCTGCTGGACCCTTTCTGCTAGCTTGTACCACTAAATGAAGCAGGGACTGAAAAGTTACCGAGTCGTCTGCATCCAGTTTCTTGGCCTGATGTACCCTTTACAAGCCAGGATTATCACAAACCAGGTCTGTTGAAGACCAGCTTCAACCAACATGGCGCCCTCTGGATGTGTGGGAGTAAGCTCCCATCTTTGCGTCCCTGCTGGCTGAGGGTGATGGGGTTTAGAAGTCCATCACATCTCAAGAACACCAGATTGGGGAGGGCTGTTCTTGCATATTCTGGTTTGTTTGGGAGTTACTGAGCCAGTGGATGATGTTGGAAACTTTCAGCTCCTGATTAGTTTAGCAGCTCATGCTAATGGGAGCAAGCTGCTAAAGTGCTGCAGGATGTGTGCACCAGCCTGGAGCCCATTCACGGTATGTCAGAATTCTCTGAAACCCTGTCTTAATGCAGTGTGGGAATGTAGCGGTACCTCTGCAAAGGAAGAGCTCAGATACCTGCCTGCCCGCCACCAGCAGGCTTCCCATTCAGACATTATTATACCGGAATATTACTGCTTTCGCTGCTTCTTACAAGCCTCCGATAGTCCAGTCCTCTCTCACACACTCAATGTCCATTCATCCCCCATCAAGTCCACCCCCTTTTTCTGAACTAAAGCCACAATGGGCCCCTTGTTCCACCAGGAGAATAGGAAATTGTGTCCCATTCTCTCTGTCCCGTCACCGCCTCACCAGGCCCCTTTGTCTGTTTGTTATTCCAGGCCCTGCACTCTCTGCAAACCCCTCGCCAGCTCCACTCGTCTCTGCCACCACTAACCCCTGCTCACACACACACACACACACACACACACACACACACACACCAGCTTTGCTGCCATGTGCAGGGTCTGAAACAGAAGTCAATGTTCCAGTGTCTCCAAGGCAAGAAATCCCCTTCCCAAAGCCAGAACAGCATGGCTTCCATAGGTGAGCCCTGCTTATTTTCATGCCATAGATCTGTATCTGCAAGAGTTAGGACATACTTAGGAATACTATTATCTGAGTGGTGGGGCACGCTGGAAACTCTTCCCCCCATGTTCTGATCAAGTGAACTATCTTCTCTCCAGGATGAGTCACTGTTTGCCTAGCACCAATTGGCCAGCACTGTGACATCATGAATCTGCCCCACAGATTATGCCTCACCGGAGTACCAGTAGAGCCCCTTCAAAGCAAACTGTGTTTTAAAACAAAACAAAAAAGGGCCAGATGGATGTCTTGGTGAATAAACATCCATTCACTATTTTAAAAAAAACAAAAAGCTGGACATCCCACTTGAATGAGATGAGAAAGTAAGACTGACATTTCAGCCCAAATTTGGATCAATTATATGTTTGTCTGCAATTAGCACTGAGTGAAGCATTGAGCCAGGGTTCCCACAAAGGAAAATAAAATATGCTGTCATGCCTGCTTTAAAATTATACACACACACACACACACACACACACACACACACACACCCTTATTCTCACACCAAAGACCACTCCTTCAGTGTATTGGTGCACGGCATGGCACACCGCTGCAGGTCTTTTTCTGCCTTTTGTAAGCTGTGCTCATTCATTGTCTGTGCAACAGCTTGTTCTGCACTGGTTTCCCAAACAGGGTGTGCTCGTAGGCTGATCATAACAGCTTCCTTTTGAGAAGCTTAAAGATGTCTTGACGGAGTGTTTAAGCTCCACATGGATCTGGTTGTACTTATTATGGCAACTCAGACACATTCAGCAGCATTCGTTAAATAGACACAAACAGATGGATGGAAAGTGGTACACTGCCATTTTGCGTCCAAGTGTGCACATCATGTGCATGTGCACCAGAAACTGAAATACATCTGCTCCCCACTCAGACAGTTAACTCTTGGTGCCCTTGCAAAGAGGACTGCAAAACTGCAGCAGGCACGTGCGCTCACAGCAACAACATTACTGAAGGCATCCTTAACGTCTTCCCAAAAGTTAGGCTGATATTTTTCTAGGGACGGTTAGCAGATAGGAGGAACTGATGCTGGCAAACAAGGAAAGTTGGGACCAAACCACAGGAGGTGTGCAATACTAGAAACTGAATTCAGAGTCGGCTGGAAACAGGGAGGTTGGTCACAGGTTTCCTGTGCCATGTGTAAATTTGGCCCTTGGTGTGTATGAAATCCAGACTCCCCGTTTTCCCATCCCTCCCTTTCTTTCATGCAACAGACACATTTTTGTCTGAGAACCAAGAAGGGGACCTTTGCAGCTCTTTAGATCTTTATTTATTTATTTATTTATTTATTTATATTTTTCGATTTATATCCTGCCTTTTTCCTACAAAGGGCTCAAGGCAGCTTACATCATTCTCCTCCTCCATCTTATCCCCACAACAACAGCCCTGTGAGGTAGGTTGGGCTGAGAGTCTGTGACTGGCCCAAAGTCACCCAGTTGGCTCCATGGCTGAGCGGGGACTAGAACCCAGATAGTCTGAGTCCCAGTCCCACGCTCTGACACCACACTGGCTCTCCTTGAAGATCTTGTACTCTTTCTTTAACTCACTGATCTCCCAGACAACCCAAAAGTCTTGACTACCCTTGATCTAACCTCCTGGATCTCTTTCTGTTGTTCACAAAGTTCCACTTTTGTCCATCGGACCTAGAAATTCTGAACTGAAAATGCCTTATTGCTTAAAATTCTTCCTCTACCTTAGTTTCTGCTTTATAAATGCTCTCTCCCGCGTGCGCGCACACACACTCTTGCTCGCTCACTCTCTCATGTGTGTGTGCAACATCTAATCCTCACTGAGCAATTTGTAAGAGTGTGGGTGTATGTTCACTGCATGGTTTCCAAATCTAGCTTTTCAGTATTGATAACAACAGTGTTCTGAATCTTTTCATGCCCCCTAGAAAAAGATCCATGTTCTTTATGGGTTTTTCTTCCATATAACCATAGGGAGAGTGAAGAAAAGACTTAGAAACGCTTTAATTAAATAGACGCAGTGTCAGGTTCTTTTAAGTTTAGAAACTATGGGATGACTCAGCCAGACAAGAGAGATCAAGAGACATTCCCTATGATTCCTAGATATCTTGCTCAAAAACAAACTTCAAGGAGGTCAGTAGATATGGAGAGATGAGCCATTCTGCAGATCCAGAACTAATTAGAATGTGCAAGATGACGATGTGAGTGGGCTACAGGCATTTCTCTCTGTTAGATATTCCCTATGATAAATCAATATGAGCCCCATTTCACATCTTCTTTCACCTTTTGCACCATCCAGATTGTGCTCCCCGATGAAGCAAAGGGCAATGGGATCCTCATGAGGATGCCACAGAAATTGCAGGGCCCACAGTTCCCAGGTCAAGTACGGGCACCATCTCCTCCTTCCTTTGCTGGGTGCTGCTTGCCCGCTGGGAAGTGCTGGAGGGAAGGATGCTGCGTACCTGATCAGGTAACTGCTCTGTGTATTGCAACCATAAAGCAGCAACGGCCTGTGTCTTGCTGAGTGGGGTGGAGGGGAGCAGCATCTCTTTAGGATGCTTCCCCCAGCGCCTGTATCATTGCACGTGCTGCAGCAGCTTGGCCGATCTGGCCCCGCAGGCTGGAAAACTTAGCAGACAACCCCCCCCACTGGGAAATGACAAGAGGGCTTTAAAAAGCGGGAGAGACGCCTCCTCCACAACGTATTCCCCATCTACTGACCACCTCCTCTTTCAGCCTACCAGAGCCCAATCCCTGGAGTGAAAGCCGCTCTCCAATAACATTCGCTACTTTCTCAGTAGAAAAATCTAGCTCCTGTCCTCCCCCTTTCCTCAAAGAACACCCCATCCCTGTCCTGATTTGACAAGGGTCGCATCGGGGTCCATTCCCAGCCGCTTTGGGAACAAGCCCAGCAACCACAAAAAAAGAAGGGCTCCCATTCAGGCCAAGACTGTACCCATTCATGGCTGGAACAATGGCTCCTCTGTTTTCTTGGCCCCAATTGGAGAGGTTGCGGGTGTGTGGGGAAGAAGGGCTTCAAGAGACCCTGCCCCACAACACAATCCTTCCAAATCCATCCAACAGCAAAGAGACCCAACAATGGAGGCGGGCTCGGCCCATGGTGCGAGGAACAAAAGCTGTTGCTAAGGGGTTGCTAAGTTCTGGCTTTAGCCCCACGGCTAGGCTCCTGCTTT